ATGTTTAGGTGAATCAAAAACACAAAGTGGAGTCAAAGTAGTTTGATTCATGAACAAATGACTTTTATACAGCACATTTAGATGAATCAAAAAATAAAGTGGAGTCAAAGTAGTTTGATTCAAGAACAAAGGCTCTTATATAGCACATTTAGATGAATTAAAAACATTAAGTGTGATCCAAGTAGTTTGATTCATGAAGAAATGACTCTTACTGTATGTAGCGCATCTGTAAGTGAATCCAAAACACAAAGTGGAGTCAAAGTAGTTTGATTCATGAACAAATGACTCTTATACAGCACATTTAGATGAATCAAAAACATAAAGTGGAGTCCAAGTAGTTTGATTAATAAACAGATGACTCATGTAGTGCACCTGTCTTAGTTGTTTTATTTTGGCTAGAATAAAAGCAGTTTTTAAGTTTTTTAAAACCGTTTTAAAGCAAAAATTATTAGCCCCTTTAAGCTATATTTGTTTTGAAAGTCTACAGAACAAACCATTGTTGTACAATAACTTGCCTAATTACCCTAACCTGCCTAATTAACCTAGTTAAGCCTTTAAATGTCACTTTAAGCTTTATAGAAGTGTCTTGAAAAATATCTAGTAAAATATTATTTACTGTCATCATGACAAAGATAAAATAAATCTATTATTAGAAATGAGTTATTAAAACTATTAGGTTTAGAAATGTGTTGAAAAAAATCTTTACTTCGTTAAGCAGAATCTGTGGAAAAAAATAAACTGGGCCATTAATTTAGAGGGGCTAATAATTCTGACTTCAACTGTATATAGGTAGGCATGTATTTTATATTACATAGTCTTAAATTACATATACTATATTATATAGTCTTTCTCAAAGGTAAAATAGACAGTGTGACACAAGTCTTGCTTAATTATAACCAAAATTGAATCAAAAACTTGTGAATCAAATAAGCAAAGTTCTATCAGTCTTCAGTGGCCGCTCAAGACAACCCAATCTCTGTGCTTGAAATAAAGCAAGAGTCTCATAAAAATAAAGTCGTCTCCAACAGCAGCCCCCACTCCCCAATCACCAAGGCCACCGATTTACCTTTAACATATTGGTGTGTGGCTGCAAATTACTCCCTAAGGGAGCGGGTTCAGGTACACACGCACACACACACACACACACACGTGCGGATATGTCACATTTCACAATAGGGGGGCACACAATAGAAATGATCTCTGTGAGCTGGAGGTGGCTGCCAGTCCCAATGAAACCCCCCTTTCGGAAAACCCCCCTTTAGCCCCCACTTCACACCCGTCTACCCAGCAGCCTCTGCAGCTCAGTGTGTGGTGTAAGGGTGCTGCGCTGGAGAACAAGTGCATGGCCAAGATGGAGGATCCCAGCATGAGTCCTGCCTGGCTGTTGTTTTCACAGTGTTAATTGAAGGAAGGAGGGTCTGTTGCTTCCTTCAAGACCCTCACCCAAACAGTTGGTGAACACAGTCTATTCTTGGAGGAGTGGAAGCTGAACGATAAAAAAAAACAATGTGATAGATTTGTTTGTGTTTGATTTTGTGAAGCAGACTTTAAATAGCTGTAACCTTTGGTTAAATATGCTCAAGTTTTATGTTTTGTTATGTATGGATTGTTTTTATATTGTTTTCTATGGCAGTTTTTCCCACTTCCCCTTGCTATGTACTCACCAGCTTGGGTGAATTACTGAGTTGGACCTACTTTTGGCTTCAGATCTGCCTTAATTGTTTGTGGCATATTCAACAAACTGCTGGAAGCATTCCTCTGAGACAGTACCCATGTTGTGATGACAGCATCACAGAGTTGCTGCAGATTTATCAACTGCACATTCAGGATGCAAATCTCAAGTTCATTGCATCACAAAGGTCTGTTGAATTGAGAATAGTTTTGGAAGTTTTGAATTTCATGACATGATGCGTTATACTGCTGGAAGTAGCATCACAAGGTGTACACTGTTGCCATAATGTTTGTGTTTAAACAATGTCTAAAGATACTAAGAACCCAAAGTGAACATAAATAAAATATTTAACGCCAGTAGTAGCAGCCTGAGCTATTAAGATAGAATAGATCCATGTATTTCATTTTGCACCAAATTCCAACTCTGCCATCTAAATGTCACAACAAAAGTAAAGTCTTCAGTTGTCCAATGTTTTAATGCCTGTAGATGTTTTAGTCTGTTCTTCTGCTCCTGTAGCCCACCTGCTTTAAGGTTACCATTTAAAAGTTTTTTGCCATGTAAAGTCTCTTATTCTTAAAAAAAGCATGTGTGTTTGTAAATACAGACCTCTTGGAAATTCTCAAGATTTAATCTATAGTTATCGTGTTTGAGTAAAATGTCATTTTTGTTTTGTTGTGCAAACTACTGATGTCATTTCTTCTAAATTTCACAGAAAAATGTTATTTAGAACATAACATGGCATTTTGGTCAAAACAACAAAAAATTATAATAATTTCACACGTTTATATTAAGTTTTAGGCAACACAATATCAATGTTTTAAGCTTAGAAGAGTTCAGAAATCAGAGCATTAAATTTTAAATCACAGCAAATGAAAAGATTTGGTATTTTGATAAAATTGATCATTTTTAAAAAAAAAAATTAAATTGCAATATTTGTTTATTTTTAATTTGGAAAAACAATTCAGATGCGTATATCATATTTTACTCAAGCATATACCTAATAAACTACATTTCATTCAGACCCATACCTAATAAATCCAAAGTATAATAAATATTCAAGTGGTGTCAACTTTCCCATAGCTATATACATATTGTTTCTTGTAGGTCTGAATACATGGACCATTTACTTTATACTGACCTATTGTTATTTTATAGATAAGCAATTTACAATCTATCCAAAGATTTTTACCTCCATGTGGGTAACTGGATCCAACTTTGCAAACCATTGAAATCTCCCTAAAGTTTTCTTCGAGATACCATCAGACGCCATGTGCATACACTAGTTCACCTACCAGTATACAGTCCTTTGTGGCCTGTTGCTCAGCAACACTTCCCTGATTAAGTTAGCTGACTATGAGAGCAAGGATCCGCCTTCTGCATGGACCACCGGATCAGATCACACTAATGGATCTGGAGCCACACCCTCAGCCCTGGTCCCGTGGGTACAGTTCCCTTTCCAGCCTTTGTCTCAGTCAGAGAGAATGTGTACCAGGGCAACACTACAATTCAACAGGGATGTCTATTTTTATACATGGTACCTTGAGAGTGATCATGGAAACTCAGCTGTTGAATGCTGAAGTGTTCCCAGACTTATGGGATATGGAAGATTTTTGTCCTCTGTGTTTAGATTTATTGTAAAGCTCTCTTAGCTTTGTACATTAATCGGTTCTTAAAATAGTCCTTGTACTCTCTTTCTTTATATGATTTAGTAGGGTAAGTGGAGTTTCCATCATCACCATCGCTCTTTAAGGAGGAGATTCGATGGCTTTTTTTGCAGTGCAATGCAGTGCTTTAGATAGTATGAAATAAACAAGTAACACTTTGGCTGCTCTGAACACAGTTTCACATAAGATTGACTAAGGGCTGCATCCCAGAACAAAATATGACTTGAGTATAGTTGGGCTGCAGGAAACATGGATGGCAGCCCATCTCAAGCTCTCTACTGGCTCAGACAGAACTTTCATTTCTAAACACTTATGCTTATAAGGTGGTCTGGAGTGTTAGCTTTTTTGAAGGTGCATCACACTATACTCTTGAATTTAGTAGACCACTTTTGCAAAAAAAAACTTTCATCGCATTATAGTGTATCGGCTTGTTAAGTCATGACGTATCAGTGACATATGGAATACTGTTTCTGGGTCCAAGTCGCTACTCATTTGAATTGAGAAAATATTTGTTTATGAACACTTTTTAGTCCTATCACACATTAAAGTGTATTTTATATAAAATCATGCTGTACATGTCAGTCTCTGGACTTGCTGCATCACAAACACCAAAATGTTAACAATTTCTAAAAAATGTATCACTTTCTGGCCATCGAATATTATGCATGGATATATTACGATTGTGATTTTCAAAGTATTACAGTGCTTTGTAAACGTTTATTATTACCATTTGATGAGTCTCCCTATTCAGTTTCATAGAGCACTTGAACCCGGAAGCCCCTTCACCTGACGTCACACTTAACAAGCGGATACAGGCTATCCTTTGGAATATAACCCATTGGCATTGTTAGCACCAAATTTAACATCTGTTGACTTTCCCATCACCTTTAAGTAATTTTAATGTTAAAGCAAATAGTCTTTTGTTCAGTGCTCGATCATGCAGTCTATTTGGGCTTCAGGGGACCAGAGTTCAAGTCCCAGGATAGGTATGTTTGCCTTCTCTTTTTTAAATAGTGCTTATTGGCGGTTTTTGGCTTAAAATATGTCAGATTTACCAAAGTCTGATTTTTAAATTGATTTTATTTTATATTTTCAGTGTTTTCTTTTTTTTAAAATACTTACCTTTGCAGATGAATGGGACATCCAGAAATACACAATGTTCAAACTGAATTTATCTTCAATGTCTTCTGAGTCGACTTTTTTTTGGGCAGGAAAACACAAAGTGATCTTCCACCAGCTGTTGTGTTTTTCATGTTTCTTTGGAGCCGTTAGTTTATTTATTGTTATGAAATCTTCTCTATCTTTGTGTACAGTACGAGTTATTTGTTGTGTGTGCGTATGTTTGTTTGTGTGTGTTTGCGTGTGTGTGTTGCTGTCATTTTTACAGTGCGTGGTTTACCGAGCGTCACACTTGATGTAGGTGTGTTAATGTTCTGATTGTTATGAGTGTAATTTAAAGCCGTCACAAGCACTCAGCTCACCCACAGTAATATATGGAGATCTGAATTATACTGATTACACATCTTGAACAGCAGTGGGTTTTGGTCTGTCATTAGTGTCACAGCGTGAGCCTTCCTCGTGTGCTGGTGTGGAGAAAAGCAGCCATGTGGGGAAACTCTAAGGGCTAAAACGGAACGTCCCAAAGATTAGACATCAATTAGAAATTGTGTTGTTTACAAAAATTTATTCATACAAATCTTACAACACTTTTTAACATTTAAAAATGTCACCCCCCTAAGGAGTTATATGTGTTAATATAGGATGATGTCACTTGCTAATAATCACTTGTCACATAGATAATGTTTCAGGTATAGATAAAACGTTCACATTAAGGCTTTCGGCGCTTTCAGAAATGTACACAACAGGCTGTGCTGTGGCCTGGGTTCCATCAGGTTTTCCAGTCGCTGTCAAAGAACCCTCAAGCTATGCAACAAGAAACAACACAAAACCTAGCTAGGCTTCATGGACCTTGAGCTACAATGAGTAGAGCTAAACAGAAACACGTGCTTGCCACATTTACACACATTCATCAGCTTGAACAATCCAGACAATTAATACTTTAACCATGTACACCACTTCAGTAATAGATTTGATCACAATATATGCTGGCCATGCTTTTCAGCTCTAATTAAAGAATCATTTTTGAAACCAAGTTTCCAAAGAAAAGCAAAGATGGAGTTTGTGAAATGGAACCTAATAGTTTGCAGCATCGTAGGGCCACTAAAATTGCCATCCGTAATAAGTGGCGATTTTTTTTTTTTTATCATAAGTTGTCACAAGGCACCTAAGCCAAAACCCATATCATCTTTCATAACATCATTATGTTCACGCACGCATTCACTCGCCCACCCACCTCCCGCCCTTCCAACACACACGCTCCTCGCATAACACTCTCAGAGACGCATCCATACTCACATAAAGCCTGGGGGACAATGCCAAATTGAAGAAAGATTGATTTCATGCCTGGGACAAAGGTTTACATATTGAATTAGTGAAGGAATAAAGCCTGATTTCCATATCGGGAGAAATATACTGAATTCAATACAGGCTTAACCAAAATATATGATAAAAAAACAAAAGGACAAACAATAAATGATTCTGCAACGTCCCTCCCTAAGGGTGATGGGGTGTAGTGTATCTCAATCTATACATGCAAGAAAACTCTTCAACGTGCAATAACGAATATGACAATGGTCATGCTGAAGGACCTCCCCATTCCCTCACTCATCAGCACCAATTACAGACAAGCATTAGCGCACTTGATTTTTTTTTTCGAGATCTGTGATGAGTTGATAAATGAAATCGTTAAGCACACTTTGTCCTACCCCAGCAGAATTAAGGAGCGCTTGCACCAATGAAGAAGGTTTTAAGATCAAGCTATGAACGTGAGGATATCATCCTCCACATTAATTTCTTCACTGGCACGGAGAAATTTACAAAAGTAACGACGTTGGATGATCATCATGTCAGCTAACGACTTGATATTGATTTAGTCTACCTGCAGAAAGCACATACCAAAGCATTCACAGCTTCTGCATTACAGTAAGGCATAAAAGATCTGGTTTTAAAAAATGACGCAAAGGCATGCAAAGAACCGACACGCCAATTCCACAACACATTTTTAAAGCTCAATGGAGCATGCATTTGAATATGAGGGCTCCAAATCGACTCCTAAAGGACTCCTGCTTTCTCAGAGGTGGATCTAGTGTCTTCTAATTGAGGGTGCGATACAATGAGCTTGGGAACATTGAACTAGATGGACATGCATGTATACAGTATACGTATACCATGCACTGAGATGATGAAGAAAAAAGTAACATTAGAAAGAAAGGGGGGAAAAAACATCAGTACTACAGTTACTCCAGTGACATTTTTCCCAGTCAGGCATACTGGATACTGGCTTCAATCACAAACACAGGCAGGACAGTAACATTCCATCTGGAGAAGACAGGTGATTCAAAATACAGTTCACAAATAAACGGGCTTTGAAAGAGGGAATCGTGCCAGCTACTTTTCATCCCTCTCCCTATCCCCCTTTTTAAGGGGGAGTCACAACAGTTGAATCAGCCCTGCACTTTACAGAGTATGTTCAGTACATCCCTGGGCAGACTTTGGATAAAATAAGACTCTATTCTTAGCAGATTACAAAAATAAGTATAACATTCAGAACTTTGATTGTCTTTTTAAAATCTATTTATTTTCTGCATATGATGATGAATTTGAAAAGATATCAGGCGCATAACGTTCAAGGTGCAAATTTTTTTCTTCATTTTTTTTTCTCCTGATGGTTTTTTTGTTCTCTTTTTTTTCTCAACATATATAGCTATATACATGAAACTTAACGATTGGTCCACAAAGTATAACTGTGCGGTTTCAAGTGCTTTTGTACAAAAAGAAAAACAATGTTATTAGTAAAATATTCATTTTAATGGCTTTACTTCATACATAAATACATGTTTAAAGAACACAGGCGCGATCCACTGATTAATCAGTTATATCAGAATGACTTTGATCTTAGGACTGAATGTACACATGAAGGGGCAGTTGGGGCAGTTTTGTCAGCGCTACAAATAAGCAAATCGACGTCCTTTGTTTTTAACTCTCTGTCTGTACCTTCTTCCCAGGACGGCTGCTAAATACTTCTTGACGGCCATCTGTTTTCGGTAGCGACTGTAAATGTCGGTGAAGATCCCATCCGAATGCCTTTTTGATAGTGGTTCCGATTCGTCCTCCTCGCTGCTTCCTCCGCTGCAAATATAGGAACTATTATTAGGCTACCGGCTGCCACAGAAAAAATGTGTTAACAGGTTTCATTATAGCTTACACGCTTTTAATAATAAAACACAAATCTTTTTAATTCCGTTTTCACTAAAACGATTCTAAGCATCCAAGCATTTATTCGATAATATCACAACGAATTATAGTAGAAATCGAAACCAGATCCAGCAGACAAGCCTCATAAATTATGTATGTTGGAAATTAAATGTATTCTGACGCATTGGCTCTCGACATTTTTCCCCGTCTTTCAATATGCAACATTTTCGTGTGAGCACAAACAATTAGAAATAACTTTTGATTTTATTGTCTATCATCTACGAATAGTTCCCCATGAAATCCCACGCCCATGCGAGCTCACAGACAAAGACACAAGAAGTCGGGAAAAATAAAGACAAGGGAAAGTCAAGACAAGACAATGAGAAATCATCTCCACTGAAAATAGGAGGGGGAAAACAAAGATGACGGCAGGTAAACGCTTAAAAAATGCCCTTACCCTACGCGAACTGCCATCAGAGAATGCAGATATTTTCGTGCTGATAACTGAACCAGGATGTCCCTCAAGGCTCTATCTAATAATCCATCTGCATGCCTTTCCGTTCTGAGATAAAACGCCAAACACATGGTATCAGTGATGAAATGCCACAGAACACGTTTGTTACAAAGTATTCACCCTGATTTTATTTAATTCTTCTCTCGTTAAACGCGTAATATAGTGTTACTTCAGCTTCCCCTGAAAATCTGCCAATCGTTTCGTCTGCCTGTCGCTCTATCTATCTATCTATCTATCTATCTATCTATCTATCTATCTATCTATCTATCTATCTATCTATCTATCTATCTATCTATCTATCTATCTATCTATCTATCTATCTATCTATCTTTAATAGACACTTGATGCAAATATCAGCAGCAACAATAACAGAAAAAAGCAAAGGAAAAAAAGCTGGGAAACAAAAGGAATAGACATAGCGGAACAACATAAACTAAACATAATGACACTGATTCTAATATACAGCGAAGTGATATGAAATATTGTACCTTTTCTCTGGCGGATAGTATAGCGTGTATAGGTCATCCGTAAGAGATGGAGGACTTCGTATAGCAATTTGATCAGTGCCAAAAGCCAGGTCGCTTAACGAGTTTCCGTCTTCATCAAATACATCGTTGTCTAGTCTGGAATTAAAAAAAAGATTGATGCAGTTCATAAATCACAATTTAATAACCAGTTAAGTTCAGATAAAAATAGCATATTAAAAAATCTAGATAAATTGCTAAATTAATTCCTTTGCTTTACGAAAAGATATTATAATAACTATAAAAATATAAAAATAAATAGTGAAAATGCCTCATGCTTAGCTAATTTATAGATCTAATTGTTCTAAAATAAACAGTTTAATCAAGGCTAAATGAATATAATATTATATCATATTATATTTGGATGCGCCCTTCGCAGTAAAACAATAAATAAATAAATATGACAAAGCTCACTATATTTGCCCAAACAATATTTTATGGTGTCTGTGGAAACGTACTAGTTAGCTAGAAATAACCAAATACATCTGACATTATAATCTTTTAATCATCAGTAAATTCACACAACAAAAGGGTCCCGCACTGAGCATTCTCATTCGTTTTTTCTTCGGTTTGTACAGTGACGCCACTGTACCGTCATCTTACGGGCCACCCGTTACATTCATTGGTTTCTCATTTTCATACAAGCTACACTGCATCTGCCTGTCCCGATGGAGAAATTCCTTCTTAGCGATGCGAACGCCCTCCCACATTGCGCTTGCACTGTAGCCTTGCGTGAACACTCAGGGGGAAATCTCGTTGGGTTTGTTACTGTTTGAAGTCTACATAATTATTCAACAAAGCCTATTTTATTCCCATCTAAAAAAGAAATTATGCTATTTAAGAAATAATAATTATTAAAAATATATACATTTTGCGCACTTACAATATTCGATTTTGGAGTAGGATATTTAGGCTGTAAATAAGTCTCTTTTTCGTTTCAACATGAAATGAAACCACGAATCGTTGAGCAGAAAGGCATAAACCTACCTCATCTTGGGAAAAGTCATCCCAATAGGCGTGCAGTAGGCGCTGTAGTGCATCATGATTCCGTAGATGATCAACGCTAAAGTCGCTTTACTAGATCTGGCCATGCTGTAAAGATACAAGAAAGTTAAATGAATAACTTAAAAATATAACACACTCATTTAGAGTAGTCCAAATGATTTCTTTTTAATCATTGATTTATCCGACGCCTATATAGCGCTTGTTTTACAGTAATACGCAAAGAACTTTTGTTAAGAAAGCCTAAAAAATCCAGAAAGGCAAAACTGATACTTTGTTACTCATATTTTCCTCTCGTAAGATGATCTGAAAAGTTTAAAGATTGCCATGCATGCGCAACAGAATCCTTCTCCCGGTGTGGCAAACGATAAAAGCGGCTGATAATCTTTTAGAAAAAACAAAATCCAGTTGCTCTCGCGTCTTCGTATCACAATTCCTTGGTTTAAACCGAATAAAAACGCCTTTTCCCTGGGTTTAACCTACCTATTGCAGAGTAGGTAGATAGAAATGCTGTTGGATGCGACTCGGGTGCGGCTGTGATTGTGTGAGAGAGATAGAGATCTTCCTCACAGCACCTCTTCCCTGAAGCGCCACCGTCCTTTGCTTCTGTGCTCGTCGGTTCAACCCCTTCACTTTTATACAATAACCAATATAAACAAAATCACTTTCGCAAACAAAACCTCGATGAAATCAGCAGCACTCGTTTGTCTACATATCCTTTTACAAAACTTTTTTTTCTGCCGTGCTCCGATTACCACGGATTTTTATCCATGAATAGGGAGTCTTGCCTTTTTTTCAATAAGTCACATTAAGTATGCCACAGACGTCATCAACCCTTCCTCCCGGGATATAATAGTACAGTTCCTTCCTCATCGATGAACGAGTCACACACACATACACCTCAAATGGAACTTTCCTCTAAACGTAATTTCGGGAGAAAGGACATTTTGCAACTTTTTTCAACTTGACATGACAATGTGACTGCCAATTAGGATCACCGGTCCATGGGTTGTGTCGAGGTCCCAAACCACATCAGTCACTCCACACTGACACTCAGGCACTGCAATGATGGGGCAATAGAGGGTGGACACGACAAACAAAAAGTGCCTTGTTCAATAACGCCACATTTGTCACGGGGTCACGTCTTCGAGAGCTGTCCACCACTGCGGTTCTGAAATAGCTTAGTTTATATGTAACGCTACCTCATATAGCTTATATATTTTTTTGCTCGTGTTATATTCTGAATTCTGCCCTGACAATAATGTATACTTTTATTTTAAGAAACAATTAATAACAGATTCAATTATTTATTTTGGTCTCATATGCGTCATGGCTTTTTTTTTTGTAAACGGAAATTACTGCATCTGTGGAATATATATATTTATTTTCAGGATGACACATCTGTATTTCTTCCACTTATAACATAAAGTTTAATATAAGTATTTTAATCAAGTAGAATACGTGGATTTGTCAAGGTTTTATGAGCAGAGTAGATCCCAAGTGTATTCACTGGCCTGTCCGCACACATATGACGAAGTTTGGAGTCGTGCACGACCATAGCTTTGCTATGAATTAATTCATGCTTACGATCAGTGAACTCTGACGTCGTATGACGAAACTATAAGTCACCGCTTGGTATGTATACTCACTCATTTCGTACACAGTGCGTGATTTATTTTAACAATGAATCTGAGCCTGGGTTCAAGATCATCTCAGGTCTGTTTTTACTTCAATACTGCCACCAAGTGTTCCAGTTCACACACTACGTATAAATGCGTATTGCCAAAGTTGATTTCAGATGTCCGGATCATCTGTCTGCGTCTTTTAGCCTTGGTTTTATGTAAACTTGTCTATAATAAAATACGTTTGGTGTGAACGCTAATGAAGTGATATAATGCGACAGTAGGCTATGCTTTGTCGATACAGACCTACATTATGTCTTCTGAAACGTGCTGTTGCTATAGTTACCGCACGAGTTATGTGCAAAAGACTTTAATTTTAAAATCTTTATAACTAGTGATTAGCGAAACATTTGAAAAAGATGTTCAAAGATGTGGTCACTGAAACTTTAGATCTATGTTGCTGTATGAGTAAGTTATGCTTAAATTGTGCTATTACGTTTGGGTTTGGTTGAAACGGGGTTAAACATCTGTTGTTTTTTTTTCTTTCTTTTACCTGATTATTGAATTTATTTAACCCTTGCTCATCGTTATAAATAGATTAACAAAAAGTAATGTATATATATATATATATATATGTACTAACAGGCTTTAGTTTTGTTGGCAAGGCTTCAGAAATGTAACCGTTCATTCATTTTCTTTTCGGCTTAGTCCCTTTATTAATCTGGGGTCACTACAGCAGAATGAACCACCAACATTTCCAGCATATGTTTTTATGCAGCAGATATTCTTCCAGCTGCAACCCATCACTAGGAAACATCCATACACACTCATTCACACACATACACACTATGGACAATGCCTTATGGGCTATCGACAATAATGCACTATGGACAATAAAAGCCTACCCAATTCACTTGTGGGGGGAAACTGGAGTAGCCGGAGGAAACTGATGCAAACAGAACATGCAAACTCCACAGAAATGCCAACTGACCCAGCTGAGGCTCGAACCAGTGACGTTCTTGCTGTGAGGTGAACGTGCTACTCACTGCGCCACCGTGCAGCCAAAGTGTAACCATGTAAAAAAATAAATAATATATACATATATATATGTGTGTGTATATATATATATATATACACACACACACACACACACACACACACAAATAAACACTTTTTCAAACCAAAATTTATTAAAATTTTACTATATAATATACTGAGAATTTTTTGTTTATTTTTATTTGACAGAATAAAGTAGTTTCATTGAACTATTCAAAACCCTTGTGTACTGTTCAAATTTACCCTTTCATTATGTTGGTGGCTGTTTTTGCCCCATTGACTTCCATTATAATAACATTTTTTGACAGCAAAGCCATGACACCATTTAATCATGCATTCTTGAATGTTTGTGGTTTTCCCTTTTGAGGAAAGGGGAAAATGTGTAATGCTTTTTAGATTTTCTCAACAGATAAGTGCGCAAACACACACTATAGTCAATAATGAATAGAATATATTTAATAGAAGGCAGAAAGTATGATTTTTTTGCACTGAAACTAGTGATCAACAGTATAAACAACACTTTTACCCCCTCCCAACAAGGAAAACCCAACAAGAATGCATGATGTTGTCATGGCTCTGTAATCAAGAAATGTCATTATAATGGAAGTCAATGGGGCAAAAACAGCCACCAACATTACCAAAGAGTAGTACATTTTCCCATATTGTATTGTTGAATTAAAAATTAAAATAATTTTCCACAAAATATGTCAAAACAAGATTTGTCACCAAAATTAATTTCATTTGCTGAAGCACAGAGAAGGTTGTGGTCAAAAAAGACTCAGCCCAAGGCTTAATAAACCAAAATGTGCTTAGCTTTTATTATATAAAAAATAATAAATGCAGATTTGTTTTGAAAATATATTAAGTTTTTTGACAGACATTTTTGTTTTTTATGGAATTTTGTTTTTTTTAATTGATGCACAAAAGTTAAGCATAATATTGCATTTGAAATTTAAACCCCACTGAACTGAACTTCAACTCTGAAAACCTGACTGACACGGTTTCAATTTACTAGAACGTCTATGTTCAGCTGCTTTGACACAATCTACATTTTAAAAGCACTATAGAAATAAAGATGAACTGAATATTATTCCACAATAAACCCAGTTTCACTTTTGTCCTATAGTCTGTTAGTTATGTGCCTATTTCTTAAGAGGTTTTAAAATAAAGTATTTTAAGTTTACATACAGTAAATGGTGTGAAAATGCTACTGTAAATGAAGTCAATGAGAAATACAGGAACACATGCTTATTACTGACAGTTTGTGTGAGTCAAGATGAGGGAATATGTACAGTAAAGCTATTAAGTTACTTCCTCTGGGTCCTGCTGTAAGCAGTGATATGACTGTACATTTGTCAAGTTGAGTGCAAGTATTGATGTCCCTAATTACAGTGGGAGGAAGTCGTTGTTTCGTCACGTATTCGTCTCTCGTGTCACTGCACATGGTGGTAATTTAAATTTCCGACTGGTGGTTTATGGTTTCCTCTATGGGTGAACATGAACTCTCTATGACGCAAATATACAGCAGATACACCTACTGCGTTCAAGCTACCTTAACCCTAGCAGTTTAAATATGCCCATGTTGTTGCACAATGTCAGAAATGATTATTTTATATACATTAATTATTAAACTGAGCTGTGTGCACACATGTGTAAGCTGTGTAACATATATGGCACGCGCGCACACACACACACACAAACACACACACACGCACACACTTCAGCTGGCAAGGTGACAAGAGGTTCAGACTTGTTAAAGTCCAATGCAACAGTTTTACAGAGCCTTTACCTTTACTAGAGTAATAAGGCTGTAGTGCTACCAACCTCCACATGATGTCAGTATTGACCAGTGAAATCCACTTTTAGCATAAGACTTTAAATGGACTGAACATTTTTTCTGAATATGTTTTTTGGAGGGCATCTGCTGTGAAAAACATATGCTTTATTTGTTGGTGACCCCAGACAAGCAAAGGGACTAAGCTGAAGGAAAATGAATAAAATATGTCTGTATATGGTCAGATACATTTTAGGAGAGTTGCTTTATTTGCATACTATGTATTTGGCAATTCTGTAATCAAGGATTAAGCTCAATGCTGGAAATAGGATACAAACTTTAATTTGTTACTGATTACAAATAATTTGATGTACTTTTTATGTAAAGTTCTGATTTTGGCAACGTTTAGATTACTTGTGACATAACTTTCTTGCTTATATACAATACACATCAAAGGTTTGGGGTCAGTAGGATGTTCTAAATGTTTTAGAATAAGCTTCTCCTGCTCACCAGGGCTGCATTTATTTAATCAAAAATACAGAACAATTTGTAAAATTGTAAAATGTTATTTGCACTATATAATAACTGTTCAGAAGTAGTTTCTAACTTAATTTAATAATTTATTCCAGTGATTTTATTTTCAGCTTTATTAACACAGTCTTCAGAGTCACATGATCCTTCATAAATCACTTTAATTTGAATTATTATTATTATTAATAATATCATCATTATTAATGGTAATAGTAATAAAAGCAATAATGGCTAGAGTAATAATTTAATTTGAAATTACATACAATAAGCATTTGTTTAAATTTCGAATAAATATTTAACAATTTATAAAAAATTTTTAATTTAATAAATGTCGCCTTGATGAACAGAATAATTTTCTTTAAAAAAAAAAAATAGAAAAAAAAGGACCCAACACTTTTGACCGGTTGTGTGTGTAAATTTATATATATATATATATATATATATATATATATATATATATATATATATATATATATATATATATATATATATATAATATTATTATTATTTTTATTTATTTATTTATTTATTTATTACTTATCTCCTCAACATCCAAAATAGTTCACAAAAGACATTTACATGGCAATTGTATATTGTTACTGTTTAAGCTAAACAATATTTTTAAACATTTTTGAAGGGTGGAGGGGCAGGGGCGAATCAATAAATAATGAGCAATTTACTGCCGATGTGTGAATCATTTGTAATCAGTTAATGCTTTCAAGGGCGATACGGTGGTTAAGTGGTTAGCACTGTCACCTCAAAGCAGGAAGATTGCTGATTTGAGTCCCGACTGGGCCAGTTAGGATTTCTGTGTGGAGTTTGCACATTCTCACTGTGTTTGCATGGGTTTCCTCCAGGTGTTCCGGTTTCATGCGCTACAGGTGAATTGGGTAAACAAAATTAGCCATATTGTGTGTGAATGTGAGTGTGTATGGTTTTTTCCTAGTATTAGGTTGCGGCTGGAAGGGCATCTGCTGTGTAAAACATAAGCCGGAATAGTTGACGGTTCATTCCGCTGTAGCAACCTAAGAAATGGAAAATAAGCCAAAGGAAAATAATTGAATAATGCCTAAAAGTAGCTGTATCAGATGAATTTTAAATTTTAATAAAAATACTATATTTTTGGAATCAGATTATTTAATCCAGATAATAAGTTATATCTATAGCTTAAATGTAGACATTTTATATTTGTACATTATATATGTACATTGCATATACATTCAAAGTTTCATTTGCTAAACTAAAGTTAAAATTGGGTTAAATTGTTGCTTTGTCATTCAGCCAGCATAACAGATGGCCTACATTTCCCAGCCAAAACGGTATTTATTAAAATGTTTAACTTAATAAGAGATCATACTACTTTTTATATTAAATGTTTAATTGTTAATAACTAGAAGGGACATAGACAAAGCTTTTGAAAAAAAAAATAGCAACAAAAAATCAATGCTAGAAAGCTGCGATGTTTGCAGGCAACAGGCAGGGAGCGCCATAAGACTGCACTAAACACTATTCGCCATGAGCTGGCTAGTGTTATTGCATATATTGCCATAATACAAAGACAAACTACGGCGGTATTATATTTAAAAATACCACCGTCTTAACGTCTGCCCTAATCTTGTGAAGTGATAAACTGTGATTTCTCTCAGTTCACCGCTCCCCGCGGCGGCCATATTGTGGGATGCGTTGCTGCAAGTTAAACCGATTCCAAGCAGAGGGAGGGGGAAACATCTGCGGGAGTCCATCCACTATTCCTAGAGCTCTTTTGTCATGTAGCATAGCCACACAATCTCTACCGGTTCAAAGGTTTTTGTTTGCCTGGATTGCTCACTGTTACTCTTTTCCTTTTACTGCAATAGAAGAACAAGCCCAAGTAACGTGACTGGATTTATAATATATCACGGATTTCCCCTCACAGCATTTATTTATCACGTCTCGTGAGGTGTTAGATGGCAACGGAATGGGACAGGCTGTGATTTTCAAGTTGAACATAACAATACCATTGTGAGTGAAACACCGAAACGTTGACCGAGGACGAAGCTGTCGGAAGGCGTATGTAACCGCAAGAAAGGGAAAACGGTTCGGCAAAAGGTAAGAAGAAAACAGATTCGGGTCCTTTTCTGAAACTCTGGTCAAGTGGCCTAGTCTCTTCTCGCCTTTGATTTAGTGTGAAACGAATGTGGTAGTGCTCGAAAACAACACTGACTGCTTCGTTCGCTGTTTTTCTCCCAAAACTCTACACAAATCTCTGCGGCAGGGGCTTTCTTACTTACAAAACTAGTTGAATTTACGAAAGAAGTTTAGTAGCCGTCGGACTATACAGCTTGCTTCGACACTGATCGAGAATGAAACGTGGCTCCTCAAAGTTCCCACCTGAGTTGTACATTTCCGAGGAATCACTGTCCCGTTTGAGATTATTTGGACGGTCGTGAACTCTATCACTTCACAAGTCATCGTTACTCACACTTCTGTGTATATTTATGAGGATTTTGTGGACAAATATCCCCATTGCAGGCCTGTAGTGTTACACAAGACGCCAGAGGGAAACCAGGGCGATTCATATATATGAGCGGTGTTTGTGAGAACGACTGATATATCGTAACGTTAAATTTTCACTGTAACATTTTGCGACTCAGTTGGTACAATTCCGCTTTTAAGGACTTTCGAGTAGGACTCGTGATAAGTTGTGCAATCTTAACAATAGCTCTTCTTCTCCAGGACTTGCACTGTTTACTGTCCTCTCCAGATTGCACTCGTAACATCCGGGGGTTCCACTGCATTTTCGGTTGTTTACATTGAATAATTGATGAAAGTATGTCATAACAAAGCCGAGTTGATGCATGCGCAAGCGCGAAAATAATCCTCCTCCAATAATCCTTCTGTGAGTACAACCTCTGCCCCACTGGCTGTTGCTGACTTGACTGGTGAAGGGAAATGATGCCATCTCCAGCTCTGATCTGCTTCCGTTTGATCCTGTCTTCTGTACACGTTACCTCCACTAGTTATTCAAGCTGTGCCCTCTGTCACAATGCCAAGGACCACAAACATGTGAAGATCATATTAATAGATATTTATCAATAGGAAACATGAACATTTAAAGTTGAGAGTGAGTGGCAATTTATCAGTGTACATTTACACTCTACTCAACATTTTACATTTAGTAATACATCATTTAAAAAAACAGGTGTTTTTATTAACTGCTTAATGCACTATGAACTAACAATTGTAGTTTTGATAATGTAACAAAATATAACAAATGTGGAAAAAGATTACACTGTATTGTTCAGTGCTTTTTCATTCATTCATTCATTTTCTTTTTGGCTTAGTCCTTTTATTAATCAGCTGATGCCCTTCCAGCTGCAACCCAACACTGGGAAACACCCATGCACTCTTGCATTCACACACATACACTACGGCTAATTTAGCTTATTAAATTCACCTATAGCGCGTATATTTGGACTGAGGAAACCCACGCGAACATGGGTAGAGCATGCAAACTCGATGCTGAAATGCCACTGAGATGCACCAGCGACCTTCTTGCTGTGAGGCGATCTTGCTACACACTGCTCCCCCTCAGTGCTTTTTATTTTATTTCAGTTTTGACATGAATGTTTCAAAAATCCCCTATGCTCACAAAGTGTGCATTTATTTGATACGAGGTACAGTAAAATGGTACTGTTTTAAAATTGTGAATTACTAGTGTAGTTTCTACATTAATACAATTTCACATTTTATTAGATTTTATTCTTTAAAGTTGTGATGACAGCGCAGATTTTACCAGTCCTTACTCTAGTCTTCTGTGACAGATCTTTCCAAAATACAGCATTGTTCAGAGCTTCAGAATCGTTGCTCAAGATCGGCAAGAATGTGCATGTGTTAATATCTGACCTAAATTAAAATGATTTCCACAGAAACCATTTTGAACATCCCAGATTTAAGCAATACCACAAAGATGTCTCAAATTTATTTATTTTTTACTCAATTCACGAACCACACACATTGAGGAACCAAAACTCACTGGTAGACCAAGTAAATCATATCAGTTAAGGGATTTTAGCTGCATTGCTAGGGCCTAACATTTTTGGTATTTCTGCTGAGAATACTTTTTTTGAAAACTGGATTTTTGCAGAATAATTGAAGAATAGGTGTTTCATAACTAAAAACTTAATATATGAAATAAAAGGAATACATTTTTTACTTTTATTTAATGTTTACAGTGTAAATCAAATTAGATCTACTTGTAAACAAAGCTAGTCTCTTATGTAATATATTTACTCAAAGACAGAAAATATGACTTTATTGTAAATAAATAATTTAAACATTTTAATATTACTGGTATTTTATCACAATAACATTAGTGAAATGTATTAAAACACTGAATACATATAAATTTACACTCAATTACACAAGGAAATACATAGACTTAATAATGGACTAAAAATCTGCAGAATTCCGAGCACAGATTCCGTATTGGGCCTACTCATTGCATACAGTGATGCCTTTCTGAAGACATTTTTTTGTAGTACTTCCTAGCATGCAGTGGAAAATATTATGAAAAGGCCAAGTATTGACAAGGGGTTAAAAGAGATTAAATCCCTGTGTCACAGTCTTAGATGTGCATGCATATTCATGATTATGATGGCCATAGGTAGAAGAGGATTGTCTATGGTGCTTATGGCTGTATAGATCTTTCATGTCCATCTTTTTCGGTCCTCCCTCACCCCTCGCTCTAGCCTTTGACAGGCACAGCAGGTGGCTTTTGTGGTATGAATGGACTCGGAAGGAAGTTTGTCCCCCTCCTTGCTTGGCTCTGATTGGCAGTAGCAGCAGAATGCCATGGTGATTAGGCCATTCTGCAGTGCTGTGAGTGTGCCAGAGCAACTACAGTCCTACGCTTAATGCTCAACAGACAGCTCAGCCAAGCTCTGTTATTTACTAACACAGCGTTTTAACCAAAAACCTGAATGTGCTTCTTGAGGATGAGGAGGGAAGATACCTTTTGGAGAGATTTTGTGAATTTAAAGAATGTTTAGTTTGACATGATCAGCATTTAAGTATAACAAATGATTGAATGGCAGGCTGATATTTCTTCTAGGAATGAATGAATTAGGACAAAACACTTGGACACTAAAAGTATGATTCAGTGGAAACAAAGGTTCAGTTTAAAATTCAAGACCTTTTTTGTTTGTGCATGTTGTGGACACACGATACAACAGCGGTGTACAAGATCAGACATGTATTGTTGGTTATGTAATGTCAGTCCTGGGCCACCCTGCTTTTTCAAGGCACTATGAGCGAATTGATGTGATCCCATTCAAGTTGAAGTACTATTCAGTTTTTTGAGCTAGATGTCGCTTGTCCATTTCTTTATTGTTTTACATTGAATTTACATCAGAGTCCCAGTGAAATCAAAATGAAAGTTTTTAGGTGTTTATTTCAATATGTTAGTCTTATTGATATCAATTGATATTCAAGTGTTTTCAAAAACAATGATAAAGTTTAGAAGATCTAAATATTCAAACCTTTAGGTTTATTACTTTCAGTAAAATTAATAAATATTTTTTGTCGCTTTATACTTTATATTCTCATAACATTTTCTGACTAATAATTAAATGTTCTCTAGTATTTGAAACATTCCATCCCTTCAAGACTTGCTGATGGCGAAATCAGTCCTTTATTCACGTCAAAGAGCATTCAGACAGAGCATTACCTAGAGAGGGTTACCTAAACACTTGTAAATATACGAAAATGATAACTGATATACGGTTGTCAGTCACGATACTGGAAATTGGTTGAATAAAAGCAATGATTCATCAGCGGATCACACAAAGGTCAGCTTATAGACAAACCAGCTGATCAACATGACATTAAAACCCTCCAGTGTCCCTGTATCTGTGTTTACGCTCCGTAAACATCGGTAAGTCCGGTGAACTGATGACGTTCGCGGCCAATCACAGACATTTCTGTTGAGCACGTGAACACAATGGCAAATCAGTACTGTTTAAGAACGCACTTAACATTGCTCAATTGTTAGCAGGAAATGGATGTTTTTAAAATTTCAGTACTGATTGGTCCTAAATTCCAGTATCGTGACAGCCCTGATTTATACTTCTGCGTCAAGCGCACGCGTAAGCTCCTGGGCAGCCTTCACACTGTTGCATAGCTCTCGCCTTGTGTGGTGCTGTGGCGCACTTCTCAAAAAAATCAAAAGCCTCTGACACTGTAAATATGATTTTCTTCGGGGTGAATGATGTCTTTCTTGTTAATGTCGCCGGTACGGCCCTCTTTAGCTTAGCATATTGGTTTCGAATTAGGCAGAAAAGTCTGTTTTAAAGTGCAGAAATGAAAAAGGCCTGTTTTTGAAAGGGGATGGACAACTTTGTGACTTCCTGTTTCAGTTGAGATTGCATTAAAAACATATAAATGCATGTTAACGCACTTGATGGGACTTTTAACACATTGGGTAATGGGACCTTAAAATCAGCTTGTAATGGAAGTTGCTGAGACTTTTATTTCAGTATGTTGATGTCCTTCCAACTGAAATGGAATATTAAGTTATGGTGGGGCGTTTTTGCGCATCATATCCTTGTAGCAAGCTTGTTGCAAGAGGGGTTTGGCTGATTAATACAAAGTTTCAGATATTGTTTAGAAAAATACAAGCTTGGACAGGGCAGGATTAGGAAGGGGATGATGCTCATGCTTCAGTTGATGCAATACTACATCCCAATGTTGTGATCAAGACCTGGGGCACGTATCACTGCAGACCTTAAAGCATACACACATTCAGACAATACACATAGATCCCTGCAGAGCTGCTGATTTTGTTTCTATAAATCTATTTGATTTGACCAGAACTGAGGCCATATGTTTCACATCAGGTGGCATTATAGCACTCTGTTTAAACATGCCTGGCCATCACTAAAACGCCATCACCAAATGTTTGTTATGAGTGAGACTTGGACATGTCAGCTCACTGTCTCCAGTCATGCACTCATTCAAGCAGTTGGGTGATGATTCTAATAGAACACACGTGAAGCTCTTAATGGCACAGAGGGTATAATGAGACATGTCATATTTAAATAGTTCATATC